TGAAGCCTGGAGTGCCCCCTCCTTGTGGCCAAACCTGAGGAAGGCCCCGACAGCCAGGGTCGTGGCAAATATATCTTGGACTCCGCCAGTAGGAGGATGGGTGAAGATGAATATTGATGGCGCATCCAATGGAAATCCGGGGCTGGCCGGCGCGGGTGGAGTTATAAGAGATGAGTCTAGCCTTTGGCTTAATGGGGTTGTGGCTAAGATTGGGCAAGCTTCTGTGGCCTTGGTGGAGCTATGGGCATTCTATCATGGCTTGGATTTAGCTTGGAAGGCCGGGTATCGACAACTTATGGTGGAGTCTGATTCACAGGTAGCCATCCAGTTGATTAATGACAGACGGGACCCAGTTCACCCGTATGCCACTTTGTTAGCTTCCATTCGCAGGAGTATTAGTCGTGACTGGTTGTGCGCATTGTTCATGTATATCGCGAAGGAAATAAAGTCGCAGACTGGCTCTTGAAGAACAGTCTCGTCTATCCCTACGGTATGCACGAGCTTGCGCACCCGCCATCAGGCGTTATGTCTATTCTTCAGGATGATATGAAGGGAGTGTCCTTCGAGCGGCGGATTATTGACCGCCAGGACAGCTCTTTTATCCCCACTCCTCCCCTCATGTAATTTTCTCTTCTTGGCTTTGGCCTCCAGCAATGCAAAAAAAAAAAAAAAAAATAGGTTAGATATGAAATTCAAATACTAGTTAAATGAGTAGAGCTTGATTAGTATTAATCCTTGGATTTGAGTTTGTATACTTACCTATATGCAAATTCTAGTTTTATAACTGAATTTAAAATATTTTAAGATTTAGTACCTAAATTTAATATTTTTGCATATAAATTCTCAAAATACCAATAAAATTTTATATTTTAGGAACTAAGAATTATGTGTATTTAGGGGTGATAATCGGTCGGTAACCGGTTTGTATACCGAGCACGGGAGAGAGGAACTCGATTATCGTTACCGGTTTGTAACCGGTTTACCGGTAAACGGTTACAAACCGATTTTTACCAATTTACCGTCAGAAGTTGTTGCGGAAGGTTTTCGGCTGGGACGGTAGCGGAGGAAGGTGGCGGCCTGGCGGAGGGGGATTGGCGGAGGAAGGTGGCGGTTCTGGCGGAGGAGGACTGGCGGAAAGGTGGCAGTCAGGCGGAAGAGGACTGAGAGGCTTGCGTCGACGAGGGAAGGAGGAAGTCGGAAGGGAGAGTCCGGGGAAGCGCTCGTCGCCGGTCGCACTTCGCCGTCACTCGTCGCCGTCTGGGTTTCGAAGAGGGGGTGCTGCGGCGACGCGGTGTGGTCCTGTCGGTCGAGACTTGAGACAGGAGAAGGCGTCCGAGAAGTGGAGAGGAGAAGGAGATGCGGCGAAGACGAAAACGCGATCTGCGAAGGGCGAAGGGCGAAAGGGGGTCGTTTTGTTTTTAGGGTTTGGCGGCTGATCAATCAAAACGCAGCGTATGGCCCCGGTATCGGTATTACCGACTTACCGTAACTGGGGCCGGTAAATGGAATTCTCGCAATTAACCCTCGGATATCGATACTGCCGGTAATCGGTTTACCGTTTACCGGTGGTAAACAGTTCGGTAAAACGGTAAACCGATTACCGGATTACTGTTTGTCAGCCCTATGTGTATTACATTTTGATGCCTAAACCTTTTAAATTTTACAAATTCCACCAGTTTTGTATGTGTAGTTAAAAACCCCTCAAGCAAATGGGCATCTGTACAACTATATACCCAACCCAACCCAACCCAACCTATACCAATACTCATACCCATACCCATCTACAAAATTCTCTAAACCCATTTAGACTTCACTCATATACTACCGACTACCACATAGACTCCACTTATTATTTTGTTACCACACGCACACATACAAACAGGAAAATAAATTCTTTCAAAAGACCAAACAGTGAAAATAATGTTTCAATTATTGCAACGCTTGAGGGCGCTAGCTAGCTTCACCATGAACTAAACAATTTAATATAATTCATACCTGAAATTTGATGTTTTGATGTTTTCCCCTGTACATTTGCCCGAATGACAGTACCTTTTTCAACTGAAATTTGGAGATTTTTTAAGGGAATTTCTAATAATTTGAAAATGAAATGGAATTTTGCTTTAGGAAGCAATAAATTTGGACATCTGATTTATGAATAGTGGTTGATAGATATGCATCCTCGAATACATTTTCAGAAGGAGCGTGCATGTGAATTCTATCTTTGTCTTGGTCTTGCATTTGGGGATTCTGCTCTGTTACATGGTGCAGCCCCACAAGATATATGAATTATACAGTGTTGAATTTAGGGCTCGTCAATTATGAACATGATGCACCTTGTCTCTTGTGCTTCCTCTTGTTGATTGTCGCAACCTTGTCTCGCATTCAGAGATACAAAGCAGCTCTTAGACAGTTAGACGTACGGCAGTGGAGTTCATCGTGAAACGAATTAGGCTTTGACATCAACTTGATGGATATAAATTTCACATATCTTGAACTAAAAACTTCATAGTCAACATGTTAATAGTCCGGCGAGGGAGCGAGTTTGGCTATTGTTAGTGAGTTGTATAAGATTGATTATTGTACTTCTCTCAACAAGTCGAGTTATTGGGATCAATTAGTTCCTAACATGGTATCATAGCCTTCTGTAATCGAAAATTTTTCTGTTTGATGGAGGATTAGTGAGTGATATAAAATGTATTATTGAACATCTCCCTTCATTTCGAGTTATTGGTATCAACTGCGATATTAGGCAACTGGGGCAACTGGGTAAATTGCAAGGTTGGTCACTAAGAGCTCTGAAAAATTCATGTTTGGTCAGTAAAAGTATTTTATTCCATTCGTGGTCATTGAAAGTGGTTAACGTTTCACGTTTGGTCACTCTCCGTTAGCCTCCGTTAACACCATCAGTTTTTTGCTGATGTGGCTAATAGAAGTGCCTAATCAGCATATTTTAACCCAAAAAAATTTATACTCAGCCCACCACATCATCAAAACCAACCCAACCTATAACCTCAACCCATGACCCGACCTGTAATCCACTCCCTTTATTCTCCGCTAAACGAAGCGCCGAGTGCTCCCCTCAGTTGGCCAGTCCCCTACTCCCTCAACATCAGTACCTCCATCGACCTCTCTCTCTCTCTCAATCCCGGACTCTCCTCCGGCTAGTGGCTCCACAATCTCAAAGGAAATTGGCAAGAGCGCTCGCCTGAATATTTGCCTACCGAGAGTTCCATTGACTTCAACTCCGATTCCAAGCTATGCCTCGGTAATGGAGGTCGTCCGATTCCGACGGAGCAGCCGACGAAGAACACAGAGGAAGCAGAAGGGTCTCGAAGCGACGACGATGGCGCCTTGTTGCTACGTGCAGAAAAGTGAACAGATCCGGAATCGGTGGGAGTCTCTTCTCAGTCAACCACTGCGTTTTCACTCTATTAAATGTTAGATCTGCCACGGTCTGTGACAAAAGCGCTTATTGAGAAAGCGACGATGACTTTGAATGAGAAAGCGACAGAGGTGGTGGAAGCTCTCATCGTCGATTTGACGGAACCTATGCGAGAGAGAGAGAGAGAGAGAGAGAGAGAGAGAGAGAGAGAGAGAGAGAGGTCGAAGGAGGTATCGATGTTGAAGGAGTAGGGGGCTGACTAACTGAGGGGAGCGGTCGACGTTTCGTTCAGCGGCAGAAGGTGGGGCGCGGTCGGTGTTTCGTTCAGTGAAGAAGAAAGGGGGTGGGTTACGAGTCGGGTCACAGGTTGAGTTAGTTTTGATGATCTGACAGGTTCAGTATAATTTTTTTTTGGGTTAAAATATGCTGATTGGACACTTCCGTTAGCCACATCAGCAAAAAACTGATTATCTTAACGGAGAGTGACCAAACATGAAACGTTCAACTATTTTCAATGACCAGTAAAAGAATAAAATACTTTTAGTGACCAAACATAAATTTTTTAGAACTTTCAGTTACTTTACCTTGCAATTTACCCTTAGGCAACTATTACACTACTCGTACTAAACCCCAGCCACCCATTGACCGGAAGTTCACCTTAATAATATCGATTCACTAACTTTGCGAAAGGGCAATAGTAAATATATTTTTGACTGTTATTTTTCTAGCATCTAGGGACCATACAGCAGCAAATGGTAGTAAAATTAGAGATGATATGTATATAGACTATCATCCATACAGAATCGTCCAAAGAAAGGAAGGCTCCATTAAAGCTGTTACATGACAGCCTTCTCTGCCCAAATTGACCATCAAAGAAAGGTATACATCACTGGTTGCCCCTTTTCCCCCCTCCACTTCTTTTGTTCTTTCTTTCAAACCCTAAATAGTTTCCCCTAATTTCCTCTCCCTTCATTTCATACATGATTCTCAGGCTGTATGTATATGAAATGAATCTATCGACCAGCTTGATTTCTGAGTCCTGACATGATGCCATCCAAAAAAATAATAATTGATGAACAGAACTTCATGTGAGCTACACAGATTGTTGTTATATACTACACCACAGATGCATCCGCTCTTCTTCTAGCTACTATACCAGCAACAACAAAATTCACATAATTAATTCTAACTTTAGTGCATAACTTTCTATCCGTTAATTATAAGCGATTGTAGGTTAACCTGTTTCCCATAACACGTAGTAGATATTATCGCTCTATCATTACGATTAAAATAAACCTTAAAATTTCTCATCTTATAACTACCATGCAAACAACAACAACAACAAAAAATCACATAATTAATTCGAACTCTACTGCATAAGTTTTTCCCCATTATAAGTGATTGTAGGCTAACGTGGTGTCCCTAACACACAGTGGATGTTATCAGTTTCACATTATGATTATCAAACCTTATAATTTGTAAATATTTTTCATTTCATTAAATTAGTCTTCGTTGATGAAAAGTTATTTTTTATAAGCTTGAAACTTGGGAATCATCATTGTTTGTTTCAAGTAATTAAGGGACAAATTAACATTATTGGCATAATATACGGTATAAAAAATCATATAACATTTCAAATTTGTTCAACAACTCAAATTATTGGAACCTTTAATTCTTTAGGATATGTATTAGATGAATTTGTAGGCAATTGGGCAATCACAAATTACAGTACTCGATGGGGGAACTAGCGCAGCATCAAGAAAAATATAAATTAAAACTGGAAAGGAAATGAAGCTAGTTTATTAAAATAACTTATGATCAGATCCAAACAATTAGTCTCTTGAGATATAAGATAAGCTTGAAGCTATGCTTCTTGACTAATCCCATCTAGCATCTCATAAACAGCTGTGGCGATCTCATCCACCGTATTCAGCCTGCAATCCTCTTCAACCTACATTGAATTAAGTTAATTAGGCACAACAGCTCATCAGTAATTAAGTATGGTGATTATCCTTTAATCACTCCCGCGTCTATATATAGAGCCTATACGCACATAAGTACACCAATACAAACACTTAAAAAATGGGTAACCAAACAAAATAAAAGCGTAGCTCCTGTCTTGATTGAGCTATGGAGCCGCAGTTAGTAGCCAAGACAATTCCATGTTCTTCCTTAATTAAATCATATGCATGGAAAATTCTGCCTTACCGATCGGACACCAGTATCCATTAAAAATGACCATCGATTACTAAATGTTGGCTTTACACAAGTAATTTCAAACCTTTAATTCGAACTTCGTTATTTGTTGGTACTAATCCCAATTCTCAAACGCACACCTTAGTTATACCTTAAATTCATAACCAACATTACTTCTTGCCAAAAATATTAAGCCGATAATCGGACTTAATTAACTGCATTACCCAATTATAGAAAAATGAGTATTAATACTAAACAAGAATTATGGCAGGTCAAATATCGAAGTAGGCTGACCCTGATGATGATGATGAATCAATACGAAATGAGTCATGTCAAGTTGAGCATCAAGATGTACCGAAATTGAATTTTACTCGAAGAACCTATTACCTAGTCACATCACATCAACCTTTGTCACCTCTACGGCTCTACTTAAATTTGTTGCTAAAACATATCCTAAATACCATCTTCAAGAAACAACAAATAGTGTTGTTGCATGCTTGATTAACACCAAGAGAAATGATTAAACACAAACTATTTTAGTTTACCTTGAGGCTGAGAGAGTAGAGCACAGTTTGGCGGTCATCATCATCCGCCGCCGTCGTGACATTGAGGTGAAGAACAGAGAGGCGAAAGCTCTGCAGGCCGGCGACCAGCCTCAGCAGCTGCCTCGCCTGCTTCCTCCACCTAACCCTCACGCTGGCGTGACTCTCCACCATCGTCACCTCCACGTCACCAACTCGGGGCCCCACGGTCTTGCTGTTACTGATCTGTTGGGAGTCAAAGTTATTGGCAGAATTCTCCCCAACCAACGGCGGCAGTCGCGAGGAGGCAGAGGAACTGTACTGCGGGAAGGTGAAGAACTCAGCAAACGGAGGCAATTGATGATCGGTCGACTTCCGCTTGGCTTCTTTGTGGTGCAGTATTGCTCCCAAGTGCTGCAGCCTCTGCTCCAGCTCCTTGACGAAGTTAATTGCCCCGCCGATGATGGAAGCTTGGTCACCCTGCGCTTTTTCATTTCATTACTACTCATCTTTCTTTAGTGTCTAAATTAAATCGGGCTCAGCAGATGAAAATTTAAACACCAAAGTAATGGTAATTAGCAATAATTACCCTTTGAACGTAGGAGTCAGGCATAAGGGAGCGAAGAACAGAGAGGTAGTCATTCATTTGCTTCCTCCGGTTACGCTCGACGGCAATGTGAGTCATCCTCTGGCTCTCGATCTCCTCTTTGTTCTTCCTGCTCCTCGCCCGCCGCGGTTTCTTCCCCCGCGGCAGAACAGCCTCTGCCTCCGCTGCCGCGGCGGCTGGGGAAGAAGATGATGATGTTGGATCCACTCCGCCGTTGAATTCAGGGGAGCCAGTGACATTTCCGGCCGTTACGGAGGAAGGGTAGTGAAGGGTAGGGAAGTAATTTTCCCAATGGTGATGATCATTATCAGTGTGTTGGTGGAGGAAGACGGGCTCTGCTTGGTTGTCCAGAAAACAATGGCCGCCGCCGCCGCCGCCGTCGAAATCAGGGGTCCAGTTCGGCGTCGATTCGAGGAAGGAGTAGAGAGGGTCTTTGGAGGTGAATTCGGTGAAGAAAGTAGTGTCTTGCTGCTGCTGCTGCTGGAAGAAATAATCAAGAGCCTCTAGCGCCATTGGAGAGATTGCTGATGCTCTGTTTCTGATTTATGGAAGGGAAGAGTTGTGGGGGCTGATCAGAGAAGGCAGGGGAGGCCTTCTTATAGAGGTTGTATTTTCAATTTTGTTTGTCTAAATTTTGTCAGGGAGTGAATGATGTCCTGGTGATTAAATCGCTCTTACATTCTTCACAGGGTTTGCACGTGAAATAGCGTTTTACTTTTTACCTTTTTTACAATGGAGCTCACAAATTTTGGAAGAATTTTACAATGATTTGTAATATTGGTGTTTTGGTTATATAAAGAATTTTTTTTTATGATACAATATATCTTTAACGGTATAATACAAATTCAGTCTGTGTATATACGTTTTTATAATAAAAAAATTATAGTACAAATTGAATTTGTACATTATGTTACAGTACAAATTTAATGTCCTAATATAGAGGTACATATTCTGTTATAGAAGAAATTGAATTTGTAACTTTACATTATGGTTCAAACTAACTTGTACCCTGACATAAATGTCCAAATTATTTTTATTGTACAAACTGAATTTGTATTTTTAACATTACGGTACAATTACAATTTGTATATAAACTCACGAATGTTTTAGAGCAAAAATTGCAACAGGTCACATTAGTGGTGAATAGTAACTATCCATTACCCTACTCTTCTCACGTATTAATGATCCTTTATTAATAAAACTAATTGTGTTGCATGATGCCTTGATATGATGTACATGCAGTCATGCTTGGTGTTGCCTTTCATTGACGATCAAAGGGGAGCCCAGTTGGTTTTTGTTTTTGAACAAAGTTCGCACTAGAGATGCATGGGATGTTCTTGGTGGATGGTTCTGAGGTAGATTCAGATTTTTACCAGATTCTAGAGTGCGTTTTGTGGGTCACGGTGAGACTAGGATCATGTGGTTATTAAAGATAAACTGGGTATGACAAAAAAATTATTAATTACATTTGAAGACGTTATATAAATATATTAATACAATTTTCTCTCTCTTTCTTTCACTTCCACAATCTCGAGGACGATCTCTCTTTTTTCATTTTAATTTTTTTTTTCTTATTTTTTTCACCCGAACCAATACCGCTAGAACAATAAAACAATACCAATCCTTTAAAAAAAATTATCAATGCACAAAATACAAATACCATTCGAGAAATAAAAACATTACCATTTCACAAAACACCAATACTATGGCAGATTTAATCAATATCAATACATGCAAATCAATACAATTACATGATAATCAATACCAATGCAAAAAAAAAAAAAAAAACAATACCAATGCGAAAACACTACCACTACAGAAAAATAACACTACCATTTCAAAAAAATAAACAATATTTACATGATAATCAATACCAATGTAGAAAAAAATACCAATGCGAAATAACACTATCACTACGGAAAAATCAGTACCAATGCGGAAAAAACAATACAATTGCGCAAAACACTACCACTACGAAAAAATCACTACCAATTTTGGGTGGGGGGGGGGGGGAAATAAGATCTAGGGTTTTTATTCATTCCACTTTTTCCAGCCACAGCCGTCTCCCAGAGAGAGAGAGGACAGCGGGAGGGTGCCCGTAGCGGTGGGTGAGGGTAGCCGGAGTGGAGGATGGCCACCGGCAGTGGGAGGTTTGCCGAGGGTGGCTGGCTTTAGAAGGGTGGCTACCAGCGGAGGAAGGGAACCACCAACAAGGTTTAGGTATATAATATATAGAAAATTAATTTTCTAAAGGGTTAATAGATTTGTATGGCCTGAACTTTGACCAAAATAAACATCTTGACCAATCTTTTCGATCTATAACATCCTGGCCCAAACTATACATCAAAATAACTAAATTGGCCAAACCCGACGTTTGACCGTTAACTTGGACGGTCAACGCATTGACTGACGATCAACGCGCCATGTAACTGTCAAATCTGCAAATTTCAATTTTTTTTTGTAATTTCCACCTATTATCATTTTCCTTTTTTCATTTTGAAAAAATAGAAAAATGCTTTTAATTTTCTGTTCCGTCTGGCTGCCGATGGAGACGACGGAACTAGTTGGACGGAGCAATTCTGGGAGCCTCCCCCGTCCCCATCGGCGGCCGGACGGAGGAACCGAGGCGGAACCAAAAATTAAAAGCATTTTTCTATTTTTTCAAAATGAAAAAAAGGAAAATGGTAAAAGGTGGAAAATCAATAAAAATTTGAAATTTGCTGAGTTGGCAGTGACATGGCACGTTGACCGTCCAAGTCTGTCAAACGTCGGGTTTGGTTAATTTAGTTATTTTGATGTATAGTTTGGGCCAGGATTTTATAGATCGAAAAGATTGGCCAGAATGTTTATTTTGGTCAAAGTTCAGGCCATACAAATATATTAACTCTTTTTAAAATGATAAAAATCAGATGTGGTATTTTTTTCTTCTCAAAATTACCCTAATCTAATGTTCACCGTAAAATTAAAATTAGGGTGAAATAAAGATAATGAATGGTGTAGATTTTAGTAGCCATCGTGATTACTCAATTTTGAGTAATCACCCTAACACGTTCCGATCGCTCATAGAGTGGCGAGAAAAGCTCTTAATTAGTTAATTCCCCAGTGAATTTGTTTGGTTTGAATTTCGTCTTTGGATTACAATCTTTGTAATTGAGTTTTTTTCCAATAATAGCACCTTTAAAAAAAAATTACAATACTAGCACCCTTCCAAAAATAATGACAAAACTAGCACCTATTATTATGGAACGCATCTTAGAGGTGCGTTTTATAAATAAAACGCAACCTAAGAATGCGTTTCCTAAGGCTTGGTTGGGGACGTCCCGTTGAACTTCTTCTTCATATGACGAGAAAGATTGATGATGGCCTGCACCTTGCCCTCCATCTTGGTACTGATAATAGGAATGAGGATCATGGTAACTTTGGTAGGGATGATCGTCATATAATTCACCTCCACCATGGATACCAGATGTTTGACCGTGTCCAGAATGACCTCCAACACCAACGGCTGGCTCGGTGTAAACGAACATCTCGGCTTTGGCCAATTTGTTGGACCTCAAGAATTCGAGCATGGAATCTACGTCATCTTGAGTGGTTATGGTATATTCCTCATGCCACAATGACCCAGTTGCTCTATTTGGGTATCGGTACACCATACGATCTACCCTCCTCGTGCCATCCATGCAAGTAACGTCAGTGCATATTTGATGGAGGTCTTCAAGCTTCGGTCTGGTACCGACCGTTATTTTCTGAAAATTGCCACCGACGTAGATGGCCCCCTTTCCGGTCTCTTCCGTGTAACCATTCCACCGTAAGCCAAGCGTTAACTGACGGAATGCCATCTGCACACAAACAAACCGTAGTTTAGTTAATATCATAAAAATCAAAAATCACAAATAACAATAAAAAGTAACACAAAATAAAGTTACGAGTTAATGTTAATGGCATAAAAAGTAACAAAAAATAAACTTACGAGTTAATGTTAATGGCAAAACTACTAAATAAATATAGACATACAACAGAAAAATGAAAGAGAGAAGGAGAGGTGTGAAGAGTAGAGGTTTTCTGGCAAGTCTTATATAGGGGAAAAAATGAGGAAAACCGCACCTCTAGGGTGCGGTTTTAGTCTGCCATGCAACCCTACATCCATAATTCTCTGCATGGCTGTGTTTGGTGTTGGAAAATTATTGACACGTAAACCGCACTTGGGGGGTGCGTTCTATATGGCTAAACCGCACCTTAGAGATGCGGTTTGTTCTTGGAGGAATGAACCGCATCACTAAGGTGCGATTTGTGTAGGGCAGGCCTAAATCGCACCTCGGCCATGCGTTTAATGTAGACCAGACCTAAAAACGCATGGCCAAAGTGCGTTTTAGGCCCACCAGAATGGAACGCACCCTCCAGGTGCGATTTACAATGAAAACGCACCTGGAGGATGCGATTTCTTTTTAAAACGCACCACAAGGGTGCGGTCAATAAAAAAGGGTGCTAGTTTTGTAAATATTTTTGGAAGGGTGCTAGTTTTGTAATTTTTTTTTTTAAAGGTGCTATTTCTGGAAAAAAACTCTTTGTAATTTGGAGTTGCATATCTATTGATGACTCATGAAATACATATACTTTTGGCTCTGTGGGTTAATTCTCTCTGTGGTACCTTAGTCTGGCTTCAGTTGCGAAAAGGAGTAGCCAGCTCCTTGGTTAGGCCCGATTACGACATCAACGAAGGTGGTAACAGTGAGGGAGAGGGTTTTCACCAGTGTTGTCAAAGCCGAACCGAGCCGGCCGGCCGGACCGCCAAAGCCGCCACCCGGCCGTAAAAAAGTCTTTAAAAGGAAAATGTGGAGGGCCTATCTTTATGTCATATTTCGGAGCTTATTTGGTTGGAAAATTGTTGTTAGAAAAAACAACATAATTAAGAATCATCAATGCGGGGATAGCTCAGTTGGGAGAGCGTCAGACTGAAGATCTGAAGGTCGCGTGTTCGATCCACGCTCACCGCAATTTTATTTTCAATTATAATAAGACCTGTATTATAGATCCTTTTACTTTATTGAAATATTGATGACTCTATAACATTTATCATTTTAAGTCTCTCTTGTTAAAAGCATGGACAAGGAAACTGGATCGTACCGGCCGGTTCAACCGGAAATCGGACCTGGAACAATACGATAGGCTGATGACACTCAAAATACCGTGCCGACCAGGTTTTTTCGGTTTAACTGGTACCAAAGGAAATACCGGCCGGTTTTGGTCTAACCGCCGATAGAGTTTTTTAATAAAAACGTCGCCGTTTTTGGAACTTCAAATTATATAAAAAAAAATTCGGCAGAAGGCCATAACCCTAATAAGTTCTCTAACGATAATTGGCAGCCAGGCTTTTCATCGTTTCTTCTTTCTTGCCCAGCCCGCCTCGCCCCCGCCGCTCCTCCTCTTCACCTCTGGCGATTGGCGACCGTGCATGATTTGCTGCTATGGAACCGGCGACCCGCGACTGCCGCTTCTCCATTCCTCTTCTCTTCTTTTCTGGCGCCATGCATGATTTGCTACTATGGGACTCTTCAATTCACATTAC